ATCGAATAAAAATTGTGACCTCTACAGTGTTCACAAGCTAAAAACGTGATTTTTCGTACAATCAGGGGCCATAATCCATGAAGTTACAGTCCGATACATGCCAATATCAAAGGAACTGAGGGTGATAAACCTATATTTCATGTTTCATTGAAATCTGATAAATTGTGACCTCTATGGGGTCCACAAGCTAAAAATGCGATTTTTCGTACAGAGGCCATAATTCAGGAAGTTATGGTCCGATATGCTCGAATATCGAAAGGCACTGAGATCTGTGGTTTACATTGACTTCAATGTTAATTCTGGCCTCTTTGCCCACCTCCAACTTTTCCCCAAATTTTCGTTGGGCTGAATGCTTTTCACTACAGACAGAGGAACAAATGGTCATGTCTTTGCACTAAAATTTGTATGAGGTTGGCCACCAAAATTTTGAGATACACAAACTTGAAGAAGCATACTAAAAACATGTAACTAGTTGCCGTACATATCGCCGTAGCTAACCTGATAACCCTCTTATCCTCCGCCTCAAAATCATGAATATTTACCAAAACCTGGCAGAAAATGTAAATTCAAACCCTCTTCGTCCATTCTAGACCAAAAAATCAACAAAAATGGGCATGCAAAAGGGGAGAAAAGAGAGAGAATTTCTATAAATAGACGAACTACAATTCGTGGGTACCGAGATGATGAAATTTAATGGGGGTCTGCCTCCTATATGGTTTTATAAGTTCATATATCACCAAAATTCTTTTCTTTATAGCTTCACATTTATTTTTGCAACATTATTATAATACAGAATCAAAAAAAAATAATTACTGCAGAAATGTTGACCCTTTAAAGTTATGTACTGTTTTGTATACCGGATTGCAGCTCAGGTCAATGGGCCTTTTGTTCTAGAATTGAAGATTCTTTCTTAATTTTGTCGAAATGTGAGTTCTGCGAAAAGATTTAAAGAGTTTCAAACAAGTCACATCAAAAATATTCAAAATATTTGAATATTTTTCAAAAATTGACTTTCTTTTACCTTTTTCTACAAAATGGTCCATTTTTGACACTTTGTATGCCTCAAAATGCTAATATTTCTGGGAAAGTCTGAGATGAAAGGCATTTATTTCTAGAAACCTTGGCCGGTATACAGGAAGACAAGCTGCAAATTTATTGCATTGAAGGTAACTGTAAGGAACTATAGTGAAACTTGTAAGCCCACCCCCTAAAAATGTTGGTGTGGTAACAAATCCCACTTGTGTCCACATAAGTAATACTGTTGATGGAATATGGCTAAAAGCCATGTTCTTCTATCCCTGGCTTATATACATACATATAAACACAGTTTGTTATAAGAAGTATGAATTATTTATTAAAATATGGATTGATAAATGTAAAATAAATGCTGCATTTAGGTGACAACTAGCCACTCTAATAAAAGGGTCGCAAAGCACTATTTTTTTTTCAAAAATGGGAATATTTCAGTTTTTAAAATACTTTAACAATCAGAGGTATCCTTGAAATTACATAGTGTAAATATTATGTTGAAGCAAGTTGTTTTAATCTTTACATCAATGTCCTGACAAAATGAGATGGAAAAAGGGAGTTCTGACATAATTCATAGCATAAAAGGGGTATGAAAAGGCTATTAATTAATATTTTATTGCCCTGTAAGTGCCACATTTTAAAAGATCACCACAAATAATAGATTTACATCCAAAATGTAAAACATTAAGCTGCAAAAAACACATCTACAACATATCCATTTTGGGGTCTGGACTCATTTGGAAGAAATGTCATAGAATTACATGTTTGACCATAAACAAAAAGTCTTAGAAATCCTTGAAATCTTATATGTAACTATTTGTTTGTGTCAAATAAAATGTTTGGTTACAATTCAAGCACAAAATCAAATTACTGCTAATTTGGAGTCAACAAATGTTCAACTGAATATCCAAATATCATCTTCAAGAAAAGGGGTGGGGTGGGGAGGGTGAGACAGTCTAAATGAAATGAAGACAGAGAAATTTCCCTGCAAACACATAGATTTTACTTTCTCGAGAAGGGAAATGCAACAATTTCAGGTTTTGAAAGATTAAAATTGTGTTAAGCCTGAGGAAAACCGCAGCAAAATGCAGTTCACTCATGTTTTGAAAATTCTAACACACCTAAGCAGAACGTAATTAGACTAAATTTCTTAATTTTTAAATTTTTGACAAATATATGAATATTTTTTCAATAACTGACAAACACATGGATCCTTGCCAAGTTGTTTAACAATGAAAATAAAGACATGCAAGATATTTTGGTTCATTTTACAACAGATGAATAATTAAAATTTTGACAGCAATATTGGGGGTAATCTGAAGAATTTCAGACAATTTATCATGATTTGTCAAATATTTTTGAAATTTTACCATTTCACATTTTTTACTATCAAAATGCCATATATCACATTTTCTGACAATTTGGAGATCATATCATCATATTTAGGCCTTTCATCCACTGTCGGGTTGTTTTCATATAGGAGGCAGACCACCATTAATTTCCCCATTGACTTCAATGTTAATTCTTTGCCCACCTCCAACTTTTCCCCAAATTTTCGTTGGGCTGAATGCTTTTCACTACAGACAGAGGAATAAATGGTCATGTCTTTGCACTAAAATTTGTATGAGGTTGACCACCAAAATTTTGAGATACACAAACTTGAAGAAGCATACTAAAAACATGTAACTAGTTGCCGTACATATCGCCGTAGCTAACCTGATAACCCTCTTATCTTTCCGCCTCAAAATCATGAATATTTACCAAAACCTGGCAGAAAATGTTAATTCAAACCCTCTTCGTCCATTCTAGACCAAAAAATCAACAAAAATGGGCATGCAAAAGGGGAGAAAAGAGAGAGAGAGAGAGAATTGCTATAAATAGACGAACTACAATTCGTGGGGGTCTGCCTCCAAATGACTTGAAGACTAAAGGGAGATTTACCTGAAATAATTAAAATAACTTAATTAAAAAATATCTCTAAACTTAATTAAAATATATCTAGGCCTACCCCAAACATCTTCACAGATAGCTATCTTTGTAGATTAAAAAGGTCGCACACGCACACACAATTCACTTTTTAAGTTGATTGATCCTCTTGCTGAGGACGAATTTCCACCAATAATATTGTCCACCATAAGCTGGTTGACTCCAATGGATGTTCTCGTCAGCAAACTTAATCGGGCTCCAATGTTGTAGAGGGGTTGTTATAAGAAACAATCCAGAAAGGGTTCAATACTTTATCATATAAACCAGGCAAGCATAAAAAACCCTGGAAATACACAATTCAATATATAAGTTTTACAAAACAAAAGGCAAGATCAAAATACCAACACCTTAACTAACACCATTACTATAATAGCATAGAAATCAATCTCAGCTACAAAGTGAATAACTATTTCAAACAAATAGTAAAGATGGTACCGGTACTTTAATAAAAATACATTATGCCACACTGATCAGAAGTGAATATTCGCTAGGCCGCTACAATCACTAAGGATGACATTGATGCGACATAATGAGCCACAAATATTAACTTTTTTCCTCCATCATTAAAATAAGTAAAAGACTCCATTCTGAACGACCGAGTAAGGTCTTATGTAAACAATGCACGCGCCATTGAGCCCATGATTGACGCCGCGTGACAAGACGTCACATGTTGAGGGTAATCATCTTTAGACGGGATAACCTGCTCTAATACGTCAGACTCGCTCCTGTGTCACTCCTTTTCTGACTTGTTACTTGTCTCTATATTGAATTCAAAAGTCAGAATAGCGCAGTGACATAGGAACCAGCCTGACATCATTTAGAGCAGGTTATCCAGTCTAAGTCATCTTTTACAGAGATATTAGAAGACTTTCGTAATCCTCTGTGAAATAGATCATTGACATTATGCAAGAGCTAAATTACGGTGAAACGGTGATATATTTGAAAGTTTTTTTAAATCGGTTAATAATTGTGACCTCTAGAGGGACTACAAGCTAAATATGTGATTTTTCGTACAATCAGGGGCAATAATTCGGGAAGTTACGATCCGATGTGTACAAAAATAGAAAGGAACCAAGATTGTTGGGTTATCAACATGAATTTCAAGTTTCATCAAAATCAGATGAAAACTGTGACCTCCAGAGGGTCCACAATCCTGATATACAATATTTTGACACTATTTGCAAACGAGGGGAGGCTATTTTGTCCGCCAGTTTCGGTTCGATTTTTACAAAATTCAAACTCAACCATCCTTAGGGTGTAGCTGATATATTCAAACGGTTTTGTAAATTGGATAAAAATTGTGACCTCTATGGGGTCAACAAGCTAAAAATGCGATTTTTCATACAATCAGGGGCCATAATTCAAAAAGTTATGGTCCGATATGCGCGAATATCGAAAGGTACCGAGATCTGTGGGTTATAAACATACATTTCAAGTTTAAACCAAATCGAATAAAAATTGTAACCTCTACAGTGTTCACAATCTAAAAACGTGATTTTTCGTACAATCAGAGGCCATAATCCATGAAGTTACAGTCCGATACATGCCAATATCAAGGGAACCGAGATCTTAGGCTGATAAACCTATATTTTAAGTTTCATTGAAATCTGATAAATTGTGACCTCTATGGGGTCCACAAGCTAAAAATGCGATTTTTCGTACAATCAGAGGCCATAATTCAGGAAGTTATGGTCCGATATGCGCGAATATCGAAAGGCACTGAGATCTGTGGTTTATAAACATACATTTCAAGTTTAAACCAAATCGAATAAAAATTGTGACCTCTAAAGTGTTCACAAGCTAAAAACATGATTTTCCGTACAATCAGGGGCCATAATCCATGAAGTTAGGGTGATAAACCTTTATTTCAACATTCATTAAAAAGTTCGCACATGCACACACAATTCACTTTTTAAGTTGATTGATCCTCTTGCTGAAGACAAATTTCCACCAATAATTGTCCACCATAAGCTGGTTGACTCCGACGGATGTTCTCTTCAGCAAACTTAATCGGGCTCCAACCAGGCAAGCAATAAAAACCCTGGAAATACACAATTCAATATAATATAAGTTTTACAAAACAAAAGGCAAGATCAAAATACAAACACCTTAACTAACACCATTGCTATAATAGCATAGAAATCAATCTCAGCTACAAAGTGAATAACTATTTCAAACAAATAGTAAAGATGGACCTGTACTTTAATAAAAATACATTATGCCACACTGATCAGAAGTGAATATTCGCTAGGCCGCTACAATCACTGATAAGGATGACATTGATGCGACATAATGAGCCACAAATATTAACTTTTTTCCTCCATCATTAAAATAAGTAAAAGACTCCATTCTGAACGACCGAGTAAGGTCTTATGTAAACAATGCACGCGCCATTGAGCCAATGATTGACGCCGCGTGACAAGACGTCACGTGTTGAGGGTAATCATCTTTAGACTGGATAACCTGCTCTAATACGTCAGACTCGCTCCTGAGTCACTCATTTTCTGACTTGCTACCTGTCTCTATATTGAAGTCAGAAGTCAGAATAGCGCAGTGACATAGGAACCAGCCTGACATCATTTAGAGCAGGTTATCCAGTCTAAGTCATCTTTTACAGAGATATTAGAAGACTTTCGTAATCCTCTGTGAAACAGATTGACATTATGCAAAAGTTAAATCTGCATATTGCAGGTCTTTCTTTAGGCCTGAAATGTTTTATAAACTATTAAAGATACATTATGTAAGATTTAGATAAAGAGCTGGCCATTCTTGCTATAATAGTTCGAAAATAGATAATGCAAAATGAATAATTTGAAATTAACTGATCCAGGTCATAATCAACTCTCGATGGTCTCTGATTTCTCCGATATTAAATAGATTAGAAATGAAATGGGGTTTAACGTCATACTGTTTTGCTCCTAAACTGGGCTAATGAAGACGGGCATACGCCTACTCTTATATCGAATTCCAACTGTCAAGGGATCTTTTACGTGCACGCCAATGTGTACACGGGACCTCAGTTTTTTGTCCCATCCGAACGACTAGACAGCTGTCCTGACAAGGGGGAAACCACGCCGGAAAATCTGGATGAACTTTCTCGGCCAATGCAGGGATCGAACACCCGACCTCCAGGCTAGCGAGCCAGCGTCTTACCCACTTAGCCAAAATAGATTAGAACGGTTCAGTTATATTTTAATTTAATTTAAAAATGTAGGAGCGAAACTTAGCTTCGAACAACCAGTACTATATGGTTGCAATTATTGCACACGTCTTGTCAAACCTTCAAAGGCTAATATCTTCGCTCGCAATAGAGTAATTGGAATGAATTTTTCAAATTACTCATTTTACATTATCTATTTTCGAACTATTATAGCAAGAATGGCTATCTCTTTATCTAAATCTTACATAATGTATCTTTCTACACTCTAAATTAACTTACCTGAAGGAAGTTGAGTTTTAAATACTAAATTAGTTTATCCATACAACCTAACATCCTGAAAAAGGATGGGATATATATGTATAATGTGTGAATGTATGTATGCAAATAAACTTTATCAACTTTACCCATAAAAACTGACAACTTCAGTATAAATATATAAAGCAAAAGAGTTAAAGATACAGCTTTTATAATCAGTAAAACATAATGCAACAACATACCTGATAAATGACTGCAATTCTTCATCAAAACTCCAACAACATACCTGGTAAATGACTGCAACTCCTCACCAAAACTCCAAGGAAATCAATCCTCAAAACTAAATCTACAAATGACTTTGCTAAACTTCCTCCTTGTAAGAAAGATGCTTAACAACTGAATGTATCTACCAACAAATACATCACATGACCAAGAAACAATGAAACTGAGTTAAAAGTACTCACTATGGTTAAAGCAACAACTGCTTAAAGAAATTCACTGATGAAGTTTAGAAGGTTAAAGTGGAGGTTCAAACGTGCTGACCAAAATGTGCAATACTAAAAACATTAAAAATTAATATACACAAAATTGTAAAATACTTTCTATTTTACCACCTGTAACACAAACATATATATACCACAAAAATAATAAATCAATCCACATAACCAAATATCAGTGATGCAGGACGGAGGGCCGGACAAGGACGAAAAACCGAGGTACTGTGTACACATTGGCGTACACGTAAAAGATCCCTTGACAGTAGGAATTCGATATAAGAGTAGGCCATAGTGCTGCACTCCGGGCAAAATTTCCCTCATAGCACACTGTATTGCATATGCCCATCTTCATTGGCCCAAGGGGAGGGGGAGGGGGTGGGGGTGGGGTGGGGGTGTATGGCTGAATGGTTAGCAAGTGTGCGCTGTATCATAATGTCTGTCATTGAGCCAACTGGCGAGGTTTCAATTCCCCGGTTGTAGGTGACATTTTTTAAGGAGTAGCGCCGCTTGTCCAACCTTGTGGGTTTTCTCCGGGTTCTACAGTTTCCTCCCACTGTTAAAGATCGCTATGCGCAAGCAAATTATTAAAATAAAATTGAACCATATGTTAGTCCCAAAATGACCTAGTTTGTGTTGAGTGGACTTAAACCCCATCTCTCCCTCTCTCTCTCTCATTAGCCCAGTTCGGAGCAGAACAGTAGGAGGTCAAACCCCATTTCATTTCATTTACATAACCAAAATCATAATCCATAAATAAAGGCAAGTCGTCATCGAGTAAAAACTGTAAGCAACTAATAATGAAATTTTTAACCTAACAAATAATACAGAAATAGAAAATCGTTTTAAAAGTAGATATACAACCCAAATCCAAACAGTATTCTCTAAAACCCAAACACCAGATTGCATCCAAGCAGGTGATTTAGCTGGGACTGGTTGTGTAATATTATCCGAGGAAATATTAGGATCGAATTGTGAAATTGAATTACCAGTAACAGTTATATCCGGAACAAAAATATCAGGTAACGTTAGTAACAAAAACAGAACAGAAGAATCGGATGAAATAGGCTACTTCAACCACGAGAACTTATTAAATTATAGCATCTGTTTCTAGTATAAAAGGATGAATAAAATCATCGAAAGCAAAAATATGAGAAGTTAAATCAGAAATAAGATTATCAAAACAAAACTGTTGTTGATTTGCACACCAATAAAATGAACTACAAGTAGATTTTCTGTGTTTTTAGGTTGATCGCCAATGAGAAGGTCAGTTAAAGGTCGAGTAATCCTAGCATAATCCTTGAAGCGTCTGAAACCTCCACAAAATCCCAGAAAACTACGTACTTCAGAAACAGATGTAGGAATCGACCAGGTTGTAAGGGTAGAAATTTTATCAGAGTCAGCTTTAATACCATCTTTAGAACTGATACGTCCTAAATATTTTAACGATGACTGAAGAAATTCACATTTTGGAGGCTTTAATTTACGATTGTGCTTCCTCAGCCGGGAAAATTGAACTACCAGTAGTGAAAGCGGTTTTACATTTATCCTCTTCTGCCATTTCAAATTGCCAATATCCACTTTTTAAATCTAACTAAGAAAAATATTTTGATCCATTTAAAGAATCCAAAATTTCGTCTATACGAGGAAGAGCATAAGAATCACGAACAGTTTTCGAATTAAGTTTTCTGTAATCTACGCAGAATCGTAGAGAAGCACCTTTCTTGCGTACTATTAACAGGAGAAGCAAATGGACTATTAGGTGGAAGAATAACATTGGTTTTTATCATGTCTTGGATTAGCTACAATTAAATGTATCGTGTGGCTGGAGTAAGGCGGAAGACAACAGTAGTTGAACCATTTCCATTATCTCTGGAAACATCGATGGCGGAATCCTACGTTGTCATTGTTTGAAAGGTGTTTCATCTGCTAGCTTAATTTCACCCGATCCGCCTATCATTAGCCTAAAAGTATCAGCAAGTTGTTATAGTCATTTTAACATGCTAGTAGCAGCGTCAAGGGCTGCCTCTGCGCCTTTCGGTGCTGTTGTTAGCCGCTACAGTAACAACTAACAAAGGCAGGGCTTAATTTAGTTTTTATTTTCTCAATAAATAAATCGGGACTTGGCGAAAACTAATTTTATTCCCATTTTTTGGGAACGTAAGTTCTCGTGAGTGTATAATGAGACCTATATACGTTCAGGGCTGAACTACTATAGCCTAGAGCTGAGCTGGCTGGAACCCGATCATTAAAAACGAAACTGAAAGCGAAACTTTTACCTTCGTGTTCGTTTCGTTATTGACGCTAAAAATCTTGATGTTAATGATTCGCCATTAATACATGTAAATTCGGGAAAAGTATGTCGAACGGTGTTAGAAGATTGTTATCTGTTCGGTGGCACGAAAAGCTCCGTTTGAATTCCAGTTTAACATGATTTGGGGTATTCTGGCGTCTGATGGTCACGTTTTTTGTTTAAAATTTACTGTCAAAATCGTGTACATCTGATTATTATTACTGGCGCCTGATGATGGTCACGTTTTTTGTTTGAAATTTACTGTCAAAATCGTGTACATCTGATTATTATTACATCAGTAACAGCTAAACCGTAGTACGTGTAATTGGTAGGCATATGTCATGTTCTTGTGTTAAATCTCAGTGCCTGTGTTTCAGCAAATTACCCCAGATATATGCTAAAATGACGCAAGAAACCATGTATCTTTCAAAAAGTTTTAAGCCCGAAAATATTCATATTGAAACAAAGCGTTATTTTACATCACAAGTAAATTTCCTTGCATTTTACATACTTATATTGATCATGCGTGATCCGGTTTCGGTAAGTATTAACACGGAATCGGTTATGCCGGTCGATTTCGGTAAATTCAGGAAATATAACGAATTATTACTGGTTAATAGAAAATCAACCAAATTTGCCTCAGAATAATAATACATCGATGTTGGTTGGTTATCTAAAAATAGATAACCAATCATAGCTTATTTTATATATTTTATGCAATTGATCGGGCGAACGGAAGCAGAAATACCAATATACACTCGACGTTTGGTGATTGATTTGAATTATCTGCCTGTTTTTTTTCGACTGGTTTATGTGACTGGTTTTTTTTCGACTGAGATATTTCACTGATTTTATTGACTGATTTATTCGACTGAGCTATTTGACAGGATTTATCGATATCGTCCTCGCAGGGAAGAATCTAACGCTTACCGTTTAGGCCGGGGATAGTGCCCCCCCCCCCCCTTTCCCCCACCACCCACAATCTATTGCTATGACTGAATTGAGTATATATGCTCATGGTCAGAGAGTGGGAGTAGAGCTATATGCTATCGATAAAACCTGTCAAATAGCTCAGTCGAATAAATCAGTCAATAAAATCAGTGAAATATCTCAGTCGAAAAAAAACGGTAAGCGTAAGATCCTTCCTTGCGAGGCCGATTTTGACGGTTACGCTGGGCGAGGCGATGTAAGCCCCGTCTCTTTCTTGTTTAAGTCCCTCCCATTTTATTTGAAGGTCGAGTTTAGAAAGGACTATTTATTGTAAATACACCTAGTGCTTTCCGTGGTCCTAGTGTGTGATCATCAATAGTTGCTCTTAACACTTCCTGAAAATTTCATGTCTCTACGACCACGGGAGGTACTAGCGGTACGAAAATTCAATGGCGACAACATGTACTCTCCCTGACCTGTTCTTCTACTGTGTACTCGGAGTATAAGTAGTCGATGAATTTCCCTATTTCTGGAATATAATGTCTAATATTCTAAAAAAATATATATGTTAATCCCTTACTGAAGTATCATTTAATTTACAAAATTTAGTGATGCACTTGTGTGAAATATGTAAACTTTTCCAACATAATTTTCCTGGATGCAGTTTTCCTTAATTTATTGTGATACCAAATGACAAAATAAAATAAGCTTACCACGAAAAACAAAATATAAAGTATAAAATAGTTTATAATGAAATAGTGATACATGTTGACACACAAAGGAATTCCATTAAATGTAGATCTTCACAACAAAAATATCAGATAATAAATTATTCTTCAGATAAGTCAATGAAATTTAGACAAAGTTAATTTGAACACAGTCTGACTGTTAGGTGATGCTGCTTAGATTTTAATGACTATAGCAGATTCTGTACTCAAATTATATAATTTGTTGAAGCCACCAGGTCAACCATGCATACCTGTCGACAAACTATAATTAAGAGTCATTCCACGCGAAAACTGCAATATCAGGCAGATGTTCGAAGGTGGGGGTCTGCCGATTGAGTTCATATTCACAGGGTTTGGTTGACCCATTGGGCCTACCCCCCAGCCAAAATCGCCGATTTCAGAAATCAGCCGTTTCCGAGATACGGGCCGATTACTTTTTTCGGCTGATTTTTGCCATTTTATGCCAAACTTTAGACATTTTTGTCGCACTACTACCGCTGTTTACATGATCCTGGCGAAATAGGTTTTGGTTGTCCGTGATAGTCGGGGTCTTACCCTATCACATTATCATGGTCACCCGGTTCAAGTTCATTTTCCGTAGGTGCCAGGAGACTACACATTTACGTATCTGGAGATACATGAAATGTACCCTATCTTCAGATCGCGATAACTCCACTGGAGCAGGGTTTGCGATAAAAATTAAAATCAATTTATTTGCAGCTCAACAAGTTCTAACAACATAAGAAATAAAATCGTTGTCAGCTAACTTGCCACAGTATGAAAATTCGTGTTGAAAGTTACCAAAAACTTCAGTTTTGATTGGGATACATTGGCTGATTACCCCTCGACCAGCCATCGTGATAGGACAAAGAATATCGATTTTTAAAAAAGAATG